AGTAATGCCTCGCCTGTCAATCAATACTGTTGGCAAAATGCCAGGGGCCATACAGACTCAGCCATGGCTCTCAGCAGACCTGGACCACAAAAGCCGACTAAAGAGCTGCAGAGAAACCCAGCGGCTGGTGAAGGCAGACCTGGGTCTACTGCCGGACCCTATGCACGTTGGTGGGCGGGGGGCGGGCCAAAGACATACACCCACCCTGGACCGATAGCCAAGGAGGAGATGGGAAGGGCGGGCCTGCTGAAGAACCAGCTAATGAAAAGCTGGAAAAGGTCTGCGCTCTAATTACCCTTCAGCTCCGCCGCTGGCCCTGGTCCTGCGCTTCCGCAGGTGGCGCATGCCACCCAGTGGTGATGGATCCGAATCAAGAGCGTCTTAGAAGCAAAACTAAAATCCCGCTGTTCTAACCTCGGTAGCGCTCCCCAGTTTCAGAGGGAATCAGGACCCTGTCAACCCTCTCCTCCCGCCCACTGGGGAGAGAAAGCCCTGAACTGCCACCCTTCCTTAAAATTAAGTCATTCTTTCGCGTGAAAGGCTCCCGCCCTGCTCGGAGCTCGCCTCTGTAAAAACATTGGGTTAAAAGATTCTAAATAAAATTATAGGAGCTTAATTCTAGGAGTAAATTACGAGAACAATACATAACGTCAGTGGTCTATCAGTCGTTAGACGATCAGTCATTTGATAAAGTGCAACATGGATGACTGGTTTTAAAAACCAAAATTAACTTTTCAGAATTAAAATAATTTAGTAAAGACTCCAAACCATGGCGAATCTTGCACTGTGTGATAGGCGAGAATCATTCCTATTCAAGTCAAGATAAGAACCAATAACTTACCTCTGTGCTCACGGGTAAAATTAATATTTTGGAAAGCATGGGCAGGATACAAGACCTTAAAGGGGGTGGAAGCTGTTAAAATGGGGGAATTCGGTGGAAGGGCGGAGGGACAAACTACCATTGCAAGTGAAATGATTTATACTTAGAAATCCAGAAGCATTAAAACCTAGAGAATTCAGTAAGTTATCTGGGGAAAAAAAATATTTATATGTGAAATGTATGAGAGTATACATAAAGAAAAGGAAAGAAGGCTATAGCTCTTGTTTGTGCTAGCATCAATGACTTAAAAGATTTTGGAGGAAAAGATCCCATTCAGTGGAGGAAGGCTGGTAATTTTTTTAAATATATGTAGATGATATGATTGTATTATTTGAAGCATAGAGTCAAATGAAAATTATTAGTAGCAGTAAGGGAATAGAATGATTTGGGTAAGTGCAAAATCAACATACTAAAATTAATACATTTTTGTATACAAAGAACCAGGTAGCAAATAACAACCAGGGTAAAAAGGATCTCATGTATAACATCAGGAAAAAACAAACAAGCCTAGGAATAAATCTACTAAGAAACCATTTTCGTCTATAGGATACTGGAGTATTTTTTTTAACTTCAAAAAATACAAAGTTATATCCTGTGTGTGGACAGGAAGCTTCAATATCGTAAAAATGTCCAGTCTCCTTAAATTAAAACTTTAATGTGACCCTCCTAAAAATTCTATTTTAAAAAAAGGCTTTAGGGAATTAGAAAAGCTGTTCTTAAGTTTATATAAAATTATATAGTTTGAAGGACAAGTTAGCAAAAACCTGAAAATATTCAAAGGACACGTGTCCTCTGTCATAGTAGTACCCCTTCTAGGCATTTACCTTATGGATATACTTGCCTATGTGAACAAAGACATTATGGAGGGGAAAGTTCTTTGTAGTACTGCTTGCCATTACAAAAGACTGGATGAAACTGGTTAAATAACCTCTCATACATCCATGCAACTATTGAAGATAATGGGGCAGCTGGGCACAGTGTTGCATGCCTGTAATCCCAGTGACTCCATGTGAGGCAGGAGAATCACAAGTTCAAGGCTAGCCTGAGCAACTTAGCGAGACCTTGTCTCCAAATTTTTTAAAATGTAAATAAAAGGGTGAGGGGCTGGGAATATAGTTCAGTGGTAGAGTGTCCCTGGGCTCAATCTCCAGTACTGAATAGACAAAGAAAGTCATTTGGAAAAACAGTAATCAGTAGGAGGCTATACTATCAGTATTACTTTAGCACCATTAATGGCCCATGTTCATTAAACTTAGGTTATAAGCACAAATCAGTTTCCCATATGCTGCTTTTATGTTTAAGGAGCAGTATTCTGTAGTAGGGGGAAAACAATTTTAGGGGAGGAACAGTTTATTTGAGGGCTCAAGGTTTCAGAGGTCTCAGTCTATAGGCAACTCCATTCCTCAGGGCTCAAGGTGAGGGAGGTCATCAAAGGGGGAAAGTGTGATAGAGGGAAGTTGCTCACATGATGATCAAGAAGCAGAAAGAGACTCCACTCGCCAGATTCAAAATATGTATCCCAAAGGCATGTCCCCAATGCCCACCTCCTCCAGCCACACTCTGCCCACCTTCAGTTAGTTACCATTCAGTTAACCCCATCAGGGGATTAATTCACTGATTGGGCTAAGGCTCTAATAATCCAACCATTTATTCTCTAAACCTTCTTATATTGTCTCACACTTGAGCTTTTAGGGAACAACTCACACCCAAACCATAACACAAGGGATTGGCTACTAATAAGTGAAGAGAATGCTCAAGAATAGAGGAATGACTGAAATAAGAAGTAGCCACTAACCCTAGGGCTGTGATAGAGTACCACGGAAGAGCTGCGCCCGACCCAGGACTAAGATCCATCCCTGATGGGCCTCAGTCCACTGGATGGGAAAGTCATTATGGCACCACATCAGTGGAACTTACAGGAAACCCATCCTCTATTCACAGGTAGATGTCTCACTGGAGGCACTCCACTGTAAGGCCACCTGGGTACTGAGAGGTTGGGGTCAAGAAAGGGCTGTTGGCAGGAGAAACCACTGGCCCTTTGGTGCTGCCAACTTCTGAGAGCAGCAGGCACTGTATGCTGGAGGAGCTGAGTGTGCTGTCAGAACCTGGTGCTGAAGGTGCCCAAGAGGCAGGAGCCAGACCTTGAGGTGCAGCATGCACTGCAGGAGCCTGCCAAGGGAACACAAAGAGCTTGCCAAGCAAGCACAAAAGAGAAGCAAGTCTTTCCCTCCTGCAGGGCTTCTCTTGCACCATCTACTGACAAAGCTTAACATCCTGCTGCCTGGCTAAGGGAACACATTTAAAGAGCCTAGATTTTCACATTCTAGGCAGTGATGGGAAAATTTAGGGAAGAGAATAAAGCTAAACAAAAAGCCATCACGACTCTATAAAGAAAAGATCAGCAACCCAACAGAAAGAAAAGAAAGAGAGATGCACAGAGAAACATTGAAAGCAGAGGCAAGAGATAAGAAAGGAAGGCTGAGATGTGGTATTTTTGGTAGAGCACTTACCTAGTATGTGCAAGACCCTGGGTTCAATCCCTAGTACTACCAAAAATAAACAAAAAAGACACACAGAGAAACGGACAAGAGAGCTTTTGCTGTTCTTTGCGTGTTCTTTGACTCTAAAAGACACCCTTGTATCTTTTTAATAAATACCCCGTTTTTGGCTTAAACTAGTTTGATCTGGTTTCAAGCCCTGCAACAAAACCATCCCACTCAGTACTGGCTGGCAATAACAAAGTTCTTGAGTTAAAAATCTTAGATAATAATCGTTTCATTGCTGAGTCCTTGTAATAGGTTATTGCTGTTTGTATCTGCAAGAGTTTTGACCTTTCCAGGTTTTATAAACTCTTTTTCCTTAGTGTAAAATACTACAGTTGAAAAAGTTAAAAATATTTTCCATCATATTACACTGTTACACTTCAAGTGGCATAGGTGGGTTTCACCTGGACCCCCACTGTCCATTTTCCCTGGAATGTTTCTTCAGATTCCTTATTAGCAATAAGTTCTCATAAAACCTAGTAATCAGTATTCTAGAACAAAGTCATAAAGACTCCTTTGATAGTCTTAATTTTTTTTTCCTAATGCAATGTCTTGCAGGGGGACTCAGTAAAAATTCCCTCAGTTCAATCATTGGAGCAAATTTTCTAGACCATCTTTCTTATAAAGCACCTGTGCCTTTCCTAAGATGAGCTCACTTGTGTCTGTTTAATCACTCATTTGTATGTGTTCGTGTGGAGGTGATTATAGAGCAGTTTGTTTTTATTAGTTTTTTTCAAATGGGCGGTTTGGTGTTATTATTCCACTGGAGGGAGCCAATTTTTCAACTCGGTCTTTAGTCTTTCTACTGGAGTTACTAGTTGATTCTGCCTTTAACATCATTAGCGATAAGGAACACTTCACCCATGGGTGTGAGCATCAGCTCCTTCCAACAGCTTTTTTTTTCCTAGGTTGGTGGTAGATTTCTGCAGTCTCATATAATTTGCTTTGGTTTGAAGAAATATGCTCTAGCTATATTTTAATTTTAATTTAATTTTTTGATTCTTTCAGTGTCTGGTTTTCCTTCTCACCAGATTCCTTCTGTTTCCTGAGAGATGCTCATCTTTTCTCTGGATGTCATCCTTATTATAGGATGCCCCTGTTATTCATGCCCATATCATCCATTTTCATCTCAAACTATTCCTTTCAAGCTTCATGTTTTATGTATACTTCTCTATTCTCTCCCCTCTACTGATTCCCTTTCATTTTCCTATAAGATCCTGTGTCTTTCTGGGACAGATATTTTCCCATGGTTGTGATAATGGTGATCCCCTTTGGTGAGGGGATGGGCATCTCTCTACCTCTAGCACCCTCACTGAGCCCCACCCCTCTCTCACTGGACCTGATGCTATGGTCATAGAAGATACTTATATAGAGACTGCGACCTGGGTTTCAGTGAAAGACT